CAAACCAAAGAGTTGGGCAAGTCGTGGGCTTTGATGAGGCAACTTGCCCGCACAATTTGAAACTTGGCACATCATGTACAATTCATCTGGATGGCATCCAAGACCACTGTGCATTTGAGGCACCCAGATGGATGCCTGGTTTGCATCTACAAAAAGGCTTTGCATATCATTCGCCAAACAAATGCGCAATATGCTACAAGTACATCATACATCAACTATACTACACTAAGTCACTAAGATGCGATATCAATAGGATGCAAGACTATTACGGTGTTCATGTTTCCTTGCAGTTCGACTGACTGTCAGCCCGTCCTCCAAGGACTACGAATCACGCATTTTATCACGCACACCTGGGAGGACTGGAGCTGGGAAGCGGTATGAACATGTATGAAGATGTGCTTCAATCAGTGGTTCTTGCTGATTTCTGTTCTCAGAACTTGCTCAGAACTCTTGGGAAGATGTCATGCAAGGAGCTCTTTGCAGATTTTGTGGCCAGTTTGGAGAGTGCGCTGGATCCCGATGATGCACTGAACTGAGCTACACAGAGAGAACCATGCCTTCACTCAACATGACTTGAGGTAGTATGGGTTTGCAGTTTGGCCTTGGATCAGAATCTTGGCATCGCTTGAGCTGGGATCCATTCATCTCAATGTGCACATCTTTTTAGAAGAATATTCCAAGGAATGCTGACATTGGGAAACTTCTCAATGTTGAGCTGTCGAAGTCTCCTTTTGCCTTGGCCCTGAAGCGTGCGTCAAAGCAGCTAGTTGTTTTGGACCGGAGACTTGTCTGCACGTCTCTGGTGACTCACCGGTGACCTTCATCCACGTGAGGCCCTGGTTTGAACTCTTTTCTGTGGGCTAAGGGCCTTAAAAGTTCCACGGCGGTCATGGTGTGCCTACGAGTTGCTTGCTTGAACATCAGCATAGTATGCCGGGGTTGGCAAGATGTTTTCAGCGTTCTTTCCGATTGCCTGGCTGGGCAGGCTAGCTTTGGCCACTCGTTTCTCGATGCCTGCCTTCCTGTGGCCTCACCCAAATTCGGATATTGAAAAGCTGAAAGCAGAAATCAGATCATTGGACTTGCGCAGCGCGGCTGCCAGCAACCCAGATGATCAGGAGTACTTGATGTCCTGGACAAAAATGAGATCTTTCTTTTTTACAATGTGGCTGTGAGGTGTTTGACAGTTTGCAGGAGAAAATCTGCCGCGACATTGAAGAACATGAAGGCTTTGACAAGCTGAATGGGCGGTATCGATCATTGTTGCAGCTGACCCTCAACTTCTACTCCTCGGCCATGAGCCAGGCCCATTGGGCTGGACTTGTTGGACTTGTCGATGTGGGATCTGACTCAGTTCGTGCCTGCACCCGAAAGGTTGGTGCCTTGTCCCGACAGATCCAGGAGGCTGTCAGTGCAAAGGATGCGGACAGAGAGGACGGGGGATTTAATGCTTTGGATGCAATTCAGTGAGTAGGTATGAGTAGGTTAATTAGATAGGTCAGTGGCTTTTGTGCATGGGTTTTTGCTGCTGTTTAAAGTTTAAAGGCTTGGGCTTTGATGCCAACCGATGATGGAACTACTAGGGCAACGTATGCAAATTATATAAATGGCTTTTGCAAGATAGGTTGTGGCGATGCCAAGCAGTGGCTCAAGCAATAGGAGTGACCAGTGACTCAAGCAATTTGCGGCCACATCATTGAGTCATGGCATCCTTTGAGTGGCCCAATCCGACACTGCCAAAGCCAAGCTCCAGGGTGGTTGAGACGCCAAAGGATTGGAAGGACGAGGCCTTGTTGGTGCCCCACGAGGCCATCCGCTGGTGGAAAAGCCGATTGCTCCAGATCATGGAGGAGTTCGATCCGGTGTCCAAGCCGACGAGTTCCTGGAAGACCAAGGTCCTTTTCGACTTCACCAGCTTTCGCGCCTGACAGAGTTCAAAAGCGCAGTCAAGGAGATGATGGCCTTTATGGAAGAACACCTCGCTGAAGAGGAGCGGGACTGCCCGAAGATCTTCGACTCCTGCAGCCTCTCGGAGGAAGAAGAAGAAGAAGCTCTAGTCAACAAGATCTTGGAGAACTTGGGATTGGATGGCAACAAGCGTTATTTGCCTCCAATTATGTATTGCATGGCCAAGTGGAAGGGCAAGGAAGGGATGCTGAAATGGTATGAGTCGCATGTCCCTCCTCCAATCAAAATGCTGAACAACAACTGCTGGGTGAATGACTTTCAGGAGAAGCAGCTGAAAGTCCTTGAAGCCTTGAAGCAAGATGAGCACATTGCACCGCAAGACCAACCGTGCAACCTATGCAGTGTGATGTGAGGGAGCACCCTGTTGCATTTTTTTGAAAGGAAACTGTCCTTTTCGTTTTACTTGATCTTGGCGAATTGGCCAAGACAAACGAGTGTGACTGTGTGGACCTAGTTTGAGGTCTGTTGCGTGCAAAAAAGGTGGAAGCAGACAAGACCAATGCAGCATCTTGGAAGTGCTGTGCCAATTCGTTTGCTGTTTGCAGACGGGGCATAGATCACCTTCATCCATCCTACGTCCCACTACCGTCCCACTACCGTCCGATACTGCTAGTAAATGGCCATGAACAGCCACAGCTCCAAGCCTTCCACATCGAGGCACAGCTGTTGCAGCTACGGCGGCTAGAGCTTCGCCGCTTGGAGGCCCAGCACAGCAACGAGCAGCGGTGTGCACTGCTGCAAGCGCGCTGCCGAAGCTTGGAGAAGGACCTTGTGCACTGCCAAAGAATGGAATTGTTTGTGCAGCACAATGGCATTCAACTAGGTGCGAAGGGGTTGCACATGGATTGCACCCTGTTGCACCAGCTTCTGGGGAGGGTTTTGAACGACAGCGCGAGCAGTAGCAAGCAACTTCCGTGTCTCAAGGGGCAGTGCAGTATGCGATTTTGCTGTGAACATGGCTGGGAGCATGGGTGATGGGGGGGTGATTAAATTCAGGATTATATATACGTCTCCCTTTGGGTTCATTGGGCCTCTGGCGCCGAGATGATGCAAAAGCTAGTTTTCCCTGGAAACCGCGACAGATGGCAGTGACAAGAACGTTTTCACTAGGCCTCCCGAGGATGTTAGTCATGTCTAGGAAGTCACCCAAGCTCCGTGCAGGTGTATGAAACCATGACCCGGGCCGCGAGACATCATGGCAATTCCAATTTGTTACATTTTTACATACTCCAGGAGCTGGATGAGATGCGGCGCTTTGTTCGTTCATTGGCCAAGACTGAGGTCGAGAAGGCCAGCCGATCGAGTGGATCATAACATGTGCGCGTCATGATGGCCTCCAACCTAATAGCGATGGCCTCCAAGCCAAACATTTTGCAACTCTTTTGTTTTGGTTCGCAACTCTTGTTTTGGTTCTACATCAAGGACCTACTGAAGGCGGATGTTCAAAGCCAGCCCACATGGCTCGCAGAGGGAGATGAGCTATATATATATATATATATAGCCATCCAAGGTTATAAAACGGTGGACAGCTTCGTGAAACTAAGCTCTGTCTCCACGTGCCGAGTCAAGCTCAGCGCTAAAGCAACCGACAAAGAGGCACCATGATGAGGCACCCAATGTGATATCCTCAGAGTTTCAGAGTTCACCACAAGAGCCCTCACAAAAGGCGCCACCCACCAAACTGCAAGCGGTGCAGGGAGGTATTGCTGTAAATCAGGCCCAATTCCTGCGCGGCTGTGCCAGGCTGTGCCTAAGCACCGTCACGGGGGGGGGATATATCCATTCACTTCATCTCACTTCCATCACCCATGCAGGCATGTTCCTTCAACTGCCGGCCAGCGGGGTGATTGTTCGGGATGATTGATTGTTTAGGTTTTCGCACTGTGCCCCAGGGCAAAGTAAAAAAAAAGGTGAACATGTGCATTGAGCCTTCCTGTGCCTGAGAGGACCATTGTGAAGCCTTCGACGAGCCACCAGTTGTGAAGACTCTTGGCTGCAACTTCCCTACACCGACCATGGCCAGGTGCACTTCACCTTTATGACGAGGCCTTCCAGCAAGAACAGGACTAGATAGATCGCTAACTTTTTTATTGATGCAACGTCCTCCCTTGGGCTGAGTTCAGCTGAGGGCATCCAGCTGCTGTGGGCCTGCACGATGGAGGCGGCGCAGCTTTGATTCTTAAATGAGACGAGCTGGCGCCCACTGTACATAAGACGCTTCGAACGTCAGAAAATTGCGAAGAGAGGACTTTGTGGCATGACTGCGCCTTCGCGGCCCTACAGCATGCCAATGTAAGTGTACTCACCAGTCGCTGAGGCTGATAGGTTCATGGCACCATCGCAAGCCAATGCACTGTGCCTCGCTGCGGCGGCCACGGCCCCAGAACTGATTTTCAGACATGTTCAGACCAGGTGTTTTCAGGTGAGTTGGGTGCGTTGTTGGCGGAATCAAGTGCAGGTGGATAGTTGCGTGTTGAGTTCGTGAGGCTTCGGCAAACTTTATGGTGCAACGTCACTCCTTTGCTCCTGGAGCCAACCTCAGCAGCTCTTTGGTGAAGCGCTACCTCGTGGCAGAGGCTCGCTATCGCATCTCAAACAACTTGGTTGACTTCCACGTAATTGTTTGTCCTACCATCTCTCATGCTCTTCCAGTTGGAGCCTTTGGGAGCTCTTGTATGATTCAGTCAACAACATCTCAACGCTGGATCAACAAATGGCCCCTGAGGTCTAAAGGTCAAATAGTATTAATATGGACAACAGGTCCGCAGGATGAGGGGTTGATGAGGCTATAGCAAAGGCAAACAATTAGAGGAGCAGATGGACCAACCTAACAATATAAGTAAGTGGAAGGTTTTGTGATGGACTTGTGCAACATGGACAGGGAGGTTACAGGCGGTTAGTAGCGGGGGGGGCTGGACCAAATGCATTGGACCAAACTCATAGAGGAGGGTACTGTATGTAATCCAGTGTTGACAGTGCCCAAGTGAAGTCACTGCAAGTGGATCCGCCGCTCCAATCTTGGCCGCGGCTTGCAAGCTTACATTTGGTTCAGTATCTGGTGCGGGCGCGAGCTAGCGATGGCTTCGGCGCCGGTTGAAAAATCTCCAGATGCATTCCAAGATGAAGACAAGCCAGGTGCGTGGTGCTCTTGCCACAGCCTTGTCTAGCTGAGGTTATTTTATATATTTTCCATGAATGTTAGGGTTTTCTTCATGCACTTCATGCACGCCCCATACCGTCGGGCAGGGCTCACTAGCTCGCTAGCCAAAACAGAGGCAAAAGGAAGCCCACCGGCAGCACTGATAGCAACCAGTAGTAGCGATGATGTGCTCTATTTTGTGGAACATGATCCAACTGGGTCCTTGCAGCCTGGAGGTCTTTGCCGAAAGTGTGCTGAATCCAGTCTGGACTGCTTTGCCTTCCTCGGTCGCAGCACTGTTGCAACCGGTCGAAGTGCATACGAGGTGACGCGGCAGTGTGCGCAGCTGGGCGTGCAAATATGTAAGAGGGTCTTAGGTCCTGGGAACTTCATCAACCCGTGGGTGCAAAGGTCATACAGGTGTAGGTTCAAGGTTCAACATCTACCAACTTCCGTTTCATGGCTGCAGAGTTCACAGGATTCAAAGGATGCAGAGCCCTTGTCGGGTTTGTACACCGCCCACATGTGGACAGGACGTTCTTTACTATTTTTTTTGTAAGGGCGTTATGCAATATCCTTCCATAATTTGGATACCTAGACTTTTCAGTAGCCTAACATTTTTATGTTGCTCCAGGGGGTTTGGGTCAAGTCACGATGTCACTTTTTGGGGAGGTGTCAGCACGTTTACTGTAATTGTTTTTTCGCCCAGGTATCCCGTCAAGGAATCCTTGCTTTCTACTGCTGATGGTGCGAGCAACTACTTGCACCCCTGGCAACAAAAGCTTCCAACCGACTCCCACTTGCCAACCTTCAGGATGTGAAGGTTTCGGAGGGTATTCAAGCTTTGGAGATTCAGAAACATCAAGTGGCCAAACCTGCTTCGGCCAATGCTGCCTAGGCCTGGCCATTGCTTTTAGCTGGTTTTAGCTTGGCCACATTGTTACACGAGCTCAGTGGCAAACCCATATGAATTTGAATACATTTCATCTCTGGGACATGCGGCCCTTGCCAATCAAGACATCGTTTGCATATCCCAGACTTTGAATTCAACAGTGCTTCGCCAAAAAGGCAGCTCGAGGCTTGAACCGCCACCAAGCAGTTTCAGCCAAAAAAGACCTGCCAAATGATGAAGTGACAAGTGTCGTCCTTACAGTGAAGTTCGGTCACTGCGCAGCAGTCTTCTTTGAAAGGCGCTCATAGTAATCATCCACCAGACCTTTTTCCTTTGCTTCCTGGAGACCAGGCCAGCTCCTTCAGATTCGCTTCAAAAAGCAGAACCCGTTGGTTCTTCACGGTGCTGCAAAGCTATCTAGTTTGAGCTGTGCAATACTCAGGCCATACCTTGTACCCCAGCTGGGAGGGATTTCTCAAGACAGTGAATGGCTCCTTGGTGGACTACGAATGGCCAGCCAGGTCATGGCCCCAAAAGCTGATGACCAGGTATGCAGGATGACAGGTGTGGTCTGCAGATGGCAAAGCGCAAGTTTACCTAGCCTTTTCCTGGCCTTCACGGCCTACCCCCAGGCCATTTCACCATCAACAACACGTATTGCTGTGATATAGTGTATATATATATAATATATGTTATATTTATATAGGTAGATCATTGCATGACCTCCTCGTCACCGGACGGGTGCCTCACCCACGAGGTGTCAGTCTTCTTCTTGGTGTCGTTCCCACTGCGGAAGCATCGCTGGCTTGACTTACGCTGTTTTTGGCTCTGCTTTGTTTTTGTGACCGTGACACTGGTCGTTGTGTAACAACCACCTTAACAAGACAAATACAAACAGTTCACGACCTCACGTGCACAAATCACTCACGGTTCTGCCAGATACTGGGTTTTTGCCTCCTATGAGCTGCCCCTCTATTCACCCAGGCATCGAACTTCATATCCTCGTCCTTTTTTTAACAGATCCGCCCTTCCAGGATCGGCCAGACGTCGAAAGTGCAGAAGGTGAGGTAGCTGGACCAGGTAGATTGGCTTGGTGGCACCGTTCTTCATAGGTCGTAGATTCAGCTTTCCTCTCAGGTGGTTGAAATATGACTCCATGGCAATGATGGGAATGGGAGCAGAACTCATGAGGTTTGTTGGCCCAATTTTTCCGATCACTGACAGATTGAGGATTAGGTTGTCCATATCATTCCCGGGGTCAAGCAACCGCTTCGTAGCGGTGTAGCTGGAAGAACCGTTCCGCAATTATGGGCATGATTTCACTGATGACAAATGGCCCGGTAGCCAGGCTTCACTGTGGCACAGTCGCAGTCACTTCAGTTTCTCAGTGCTAAATGAATTTTGCATAGTTGTTGTGACAGTGACATCTACGCCACAGTGCGCCACATGGCCTTGGAAGTCAAGGGGCTTCAGTTTTCAATTGATCTGATGACACTACTAGAGTCAGGAATCTGGACTTTGCATTGGGTCTGATCAGGGCGGAGACTGCACGATGAGTGTCGAGGAGTGAAAAACCTGAGTTTGGATTCTGTGGCATTCTCCTGTCTTGCTGCTGTAGCCCGGCCAGTTGCTGGCTGCTCCGCATCACTAAGACATGTTGAGACGAATACCCAACAGTGCAGGCAATGCTTGCACTTGCACCATGATTTGCAGCGTTTGTTTGTCTTGTTTTTTTGGTTGTTTGTTCCTTCGCCTGTTGATTTGTTTGAACTTGCTTTGGAACGGGGATATCGCTGTGACTTCTGCAAATCATGGTCGGCGCATAATTCTTCAATGATTTTAATGCCAAATGAATGGACACGAATGGCACATAAGATTCACATGCCAAACGCATGGCCAATTTCGGCGAAGCGAGACTTCGCTCAGAGAAAATGGTCAGTTTTGGAGTTCTAGCCCCTTTGCTTTGATTCTTCATGGTGTGCGCGTTTCAGGCTACCGCTCGCTCCGTTTGCATGAGAGCTTGGCTTAGGGCTTAGGATGGCAGCTAGGGCCTAGGATTAACCATGTTTATATAGCACAGAGCACTGTGGCTTAACATAACACAAAGAACTCACCGTTTGTTCAACTTGGACAGTTCAATGCGCCTTCCTAGACTGAAGGACGGATGAAAGACATAGAATTAGCATGCTTCCTGCAACACTTTTTTGAAGCGGGAATGGGCACTGACATAGGAGATGTTCACGCGGCCGCTTCTGGCACCAGCATCCCTACACGTTGTGGGAGTCACTTGTTGAGCTTAGAGAAAGACCCCCAATCCGTTCAGACTGTACTCAGAGATCAGAGAAAATGGTAGATGTCCTTGGGTTCTTGCAAGTTCATGAAATTGACAGAGGTTTGGTCTTTGTGGGCAACTCGCACACCTACCAGCCCAAAGAGCTTGGTGGAGTGCCAGGTGCCTTTGCCCGGCTGGCAGCATCTTGCGGGCACTCCGTGCTACTTGGCTTGAGCTGATCTCCTGGGTCTCCTGGCTAAGTTGAGGGTCCATAAGCTCGGCTGAGGTCTGCGGAAAGCGTTACCCAGGGAGGTGCCAACCTGTCTGATCTCTGGGAAGAGTTCGAGAGCTATATGCAGAGACGTGGTGTCTTGGCGCTTGAAGATATTTGGATCTGTTTGAGACTGCTTCGTTTGTGTGTTCGGTCGGTGGAGGAAGGAGAGCACGAATCACTCGCTCGGGGGCGTTGCGCGTTCGTGCACTAGGCTATCACACCGGTTCCCACCACCTTTCTGGCTTTTGACCTTGTCAGGTTGTGTCTACTTTGAACAGGTGTTTGTTGACAGGCGTCGCGCAACAAGAACTCGCCCGCCCGCCCCAGTGTGGGTGTGGCAGTTGCAGTTGCCATCCTTCTACCCCAAGTGGTGGCCTTTGTCGAGACCTCCCGGTTTCTTGGTGGGGGGGGTGGAAGACGTTGGTGTGATTGCTTACTGTAATTCATTTTGCCTTGGAGCCTTCGCATGTCACGTGCGCTGGTGCCCCTTTCGCTGGGGGTTGCATCCAGCGGTTGGTGGCTGCGCCGCTTGCTTTGAAGGAGGCACTGCATTCACTGGTGCGAGAAGGGGTCGCATCAGTTTCGGCCCGTTTCGAAGACTGCGGGCGGGGGTCGAAGAGCTAGATATTTGAGTTTTCTGTGGATGTTCTTTGCTGATTGCGAGGGGGCTGAGTTGCGTTGAGAGATCATTGAGTCATCAGTGATTTGCTTTCCTTCCTGGCTTTGCTGTATTGGGCAAGAATCCACATTCACTACATTGGTTCGGAAGATGGCTTGAGCATTGATTTTGGACATTTCCTGCCACATCTTGCATCACAGAACAGCGTGGAGACCTAACCTGCGTGGCCGTGGTTGGTGCAGCACCTGCAGTGCCTGCAGGGGTGCTGGGGGTTGGGCGGGTAAGGGGGGGATGAGATTCCGCCGTGGCAGGAGTTGCAGACAATGGCCCTTGGCGATCGAGACCAGGATCGCAGATCCAAAAAGGAGAAGGAGAAGGAGAAGAAGGACAAGAAGGAGAACAAGAAGATGAAGAGGAAGAGGAAGAGGAAGAAGAAGAGGAAGAAGAAGGAGAAGAAGGAGAAGAAGGAGAAAGAGAAGAAGGAGAAG